CCTTAGTGGTCTTCATGTGCGGTCTTGTTGTATTTAAGCCTTGATTGTTGTAGTTAATACTAGGGGGATTTGACCTCCAGGCCAGCTGGCTGTGAGAATCAGCTGTGTCTGCAGTGGGAAAACTTCTGTCCTCTGGGGAGGTGCTAATCTAACCTTTGCCTGAGGCTATCTGGCAAATGGCTCTTTGCAGGGCTTGGGCGGGGCCGGTCGCAGTGGGTGGGCGGAGCGAGCAGTTATGGCTGCTCTCAGTCCCGTCCACAGAGGCTCTGCCTCTCAGAGTCCCAGCAACCACTGCAAACCTCGGAGAGCACTTGTGTAATCTTTCTTGTTACACCTGGCAATGGCAGTTTAATGGAAATTCCCCAACAAAACCCGGAAGCCCTGAAAATGTATCAAAGGAAAGTAAGAACCTAAGCTGGGGCTCAGCTTTGGGAACTGATTCCCCTGAACCAGAATGCTGGGGGTAGAAATAAAGTGCCTTTTCTTAATCTTCCAAGCCCTTTTCTTAATCTTCCAAGTGTCCTCCCGCTGCCTGGTAATTCTGCCATAACATAGTTACTAGTCTACAACTATCAGAAAATGAAGCCCCAGCAGAAGCCTGGAATAGTTAGGGACTTCCAGAGAAATACTAACTCTGAGAAATATGATTTTACTCATCCTTCATTCATTCCCAGAAGTGTGGTCATAAAGTGTGCACATCTCAAAGTGTTGAAGGCTTCAGGCATGGGGTCATTGTTTATGTCCCTCTCACGGCCTCTTCCACTGCCCTCAGTGTCATTGCCTATGGAAGATAGTGCCCAAGGGCAGTCCCTTTGGCGAACAGTCAGGATTAGGTCAGTCAAGAAACATTCTGTGGGCTGGAGCTGGAGTCCTTGCTGCTCATGTCCCTGTGATTTTCTGGATCAGTGAGCACCATATGCTTTTGGTCTCTTCTCCTTTTCCTCGCAGCTAATGTCACTGTTGACATACCTTACTCCACAGCACGTCAGAGGCCTCTTCTTAGACTGGAGTTTGCTTTGGGTTAATAAACATCTCTGGGATTACAAAAGTCCCCAGGAGGGTCAAAAGTATTGGTCAGCAATGCCTGAGCTCAGCAAAGCTTTGACTAAGTCAGGTGATTTTTATCGTTGAGTTTAGTTGGAGAGGCTGGAAATCATGACAGAGGGATGGTGTATTAGTTTGCTAGGGCTGCTGTAATAAAGTGCCACAAACTGGGAGACATACACAAGAAAAATTTCTTCATTTTAAAATATATTTTTATTGGTTTTGGGTTGTTGTTTTTTAAGAGAAAGGAAGAGTTAGAAAGAGTGAAACATCAATGTGAGAGAGAACATTGACTGGCTGCCTCCCACACGCACCCTGACCGGGGATTGAGCCCGCACCCTGGGCATGTACCAGGAATCAAACCGGCAACCGTTTGGTGCACAGGATGATGCTTAACTGAGCCACACAACAAAAATTTATTATCTCACTGTTCTGGAGGCCAAAAGTTCAAGATGAAGGTGTCAGCAGAGTTTGTCCCTTCTGACGGCTCTGAGGGGGAATCTGGTCCATGCCTCTTCCCGAACTTTTAGTGTTATAGAAAAACTGGAGAAGAACCAAATAACGCTTGGAGGGATAGAGTTACATTTTATTACGTGCGGGCCCAGAGGAAAATGTTTCTCAAATTCTGTGTGTCTTCACACACGATGTTTCTCATATTTATACGATCTTACCCTCTTTGTCTCCCAAATATGGTTTTTTTTCCGGTTCCCTTTGCAAGTTCTTAAAGGGCCCTATGTGCTGGTGCTTTGAGACCTTGCTCAAAGGCTTGGCCTGACGCCAGCACTGATAACTTCGTCTGGAGAAGGTTTAATGGCCTCTCTGAAATGGGAGTAGTCTTATTTTCCTTATTATTTAAGCCAGCAAGCATCTATAGAGGCCAGAAATAGCAGGGTTAAAATTTCAAACAGCAGTTTTTATATAAGATGGATGCTTCACTAGTATAGTGATGGCGAACCTATGACACACGTGTCAGAGGTAACACGTGAACTCATTTTTTTGGTTGATTTTTCTTTGTTAAATGGCATTTAAACATATAATATAAATATCAGAAATATAAATCTTGGCTGACTTGTCCCCGTGGCCGCTGCGCCAGAGCCCAAGGAACACAGGCAGAAGGGGAACCGCTGTCATGTAATGGTCATCAGGATGCTTTAATTCACTGAAAGTTGATAAAAGAATTCAGTGGAAGAAAAAATTAATGACCTATTTAATTGGTCCAGCATTAACAAAATACTGATAGGAAGAACTAAGATGGCGGCATAAGGTATAGACCTGTGCATGCTGCCTCCCACAACAACATTGAAATTACCAATTATAAGACAAAGCAGCTATCATCCAGAACCATGGGAAAGCTGGCCCAGTGGAAGTTCTACAACTGGAAGGAAAGAAAGAAGCTCATTGAGACTGAGTAGGAGGTGCAGAGGCACCAAGAACAGAGGAACGGAGTCATGAGCCAGGGGGGCTGCAACTTGATGCGCGGTTTTTTTTCAATCGGAAGGGGATACAAGCTCTGGAATCCACTGAGCTTGTTTGGGGCGGGATTCTGAGGTCCCAGACCCCTACGGGGAGAGGCAAGACTGTCTTTCAGCGTGTCGGAGTGCGAGGGTGGCTTTCTCGCGGAGCAGCTCGCTGGCACTCAGGGACACGGAGACGCGGAGTCGCAGAGAGGTGAGGAGTTGCGGAGACGCTGAAAACAACCATTGCTGTTTGCTCCGCCCTGGTGATTCTCTGAGACCCCGTCCTACTCAATTTACATCCTCACCCAAGCTGTGCCAGTGGCACAAAAGGAACCACCTGCGCTTTTGCAGCCTAACCCAACAAACTGCAGATTTCAACTCCTGGCATCCATAAGGGACACACTCAAGAAGCAGAATCAGGTTCGGAGGAAGCCGGAGCCGGACCTGGCTGGGCTGGGTGTACCAACAAACGCACAAGCAGGTCCACCAGATTCGGTCTCACATGGGATGCCGGGAGACGGCAGACAAGCAGCCTGTGCACTTAGTAAAAAACAAAATCCAAGCAAAGCATACCAGATATTCAGCCAGCTAGAACATCTGGAGATTTTGTCCAGCAGGAAGCCTCCCAATAAAAGACAGAATGCCAAACTTCAGGTTGACTAGTTAAAGTATGATGTCCAGCACCTGCAGACTGCTCTCAGAAACTTACAGCATCGGCAATACGCAAGGGAGCAACAGGAGAGACAGCGAGAGGAGCTTCTGTCTCACACCTTCACCCACAACGTGGGATTCAGCATCCCCTGAAAGGCTGTGTGAGGCTGCGACAGCCCCTGCGAGAGTGTGACGCCCCTTGCGAGGTTGCGTGAGGTTCTGACGCCCCTTGAGAGGTGGCGTGAGGCTGTGACGGCCCCTGCGAGGCTACGACGGCCCCTGTGAGGCTGCGACGTCCCATGTGAGGCTGGGTGAGGCTGCAACGGCCCCTGGGAGGCTGTGATGGTCCCTGTGAGGCCGCGATGGTTCCTTCGAGCCTGCTTCGGCCCCTGCGAGGATGCGACGGCACCTGTGAGGCTGCGATGGCCCCTGCGAGGCTGCGACGGCACATGCGAGGCTGGGACAGCCCCTGTGAGGCTGCGTGAGGCTGTGATGGCCCCTGTGAGGCTGCGTGAGGCTGTGATGGCCCCTGTGAGGCTGCAACGGCTCCTGCAAGGCTCCGATGGCCCCTGCAAGGCTGTGACGACCCCTGGGAAGCCTGCGGAACCAAGCGAGCCGCCCAGACAGCTTCGTCGACGGCCCATGAACCAGCTCACAGCCCCACACACAACTATCACCTGAAGGGCGAGAGGGGCGAGAGCAGCTGTAGTGTTGCTTTCTCCTCACTTTTGGTAGCGAAATCCTCATTTTAAACATAAGAGGATACATTATTTTAAAAAGCCGTTACGTGTCTCCGTACCCTTTCTGAGTAGAGCATGAACAAGTCGTGAGAGACCTTTCTGAGCACAGGGACATGTTGCGGATGGAAATAGCTGCATTTTCCACGTGTATGATCTTTGACCCAGCAACAAAGCGTACAGTGGGAAGAGATTGGACAATAATCATACACCTGTGGATGAGGACAATACGGGGGGTGATGGCGGGGGGATGGGGACGGTGGAAACTGGGCGGAGGGGGGCTATGGGGTGAAAAAGGGGAACAACTGTAATCTGAACAGTAAAGATTTATTTAAAAAATATATAAATCTTTGTTTTACTATGGTTGCAAATATCAAAAAATTTCTATATGTGACATGGCACCAGAATTAAGTTACAGTTTTTCAAAATGCTGACACGCCAAGCTCAAAAGGTTCGCCATCACTGTTCTAGTTGGTTGCTGTAAACTTCTGAGGTTCCTTTATTGTGAAAGCATCAACCAGATTTCTGCCTCATTCTACACATGGCATTTTTTCTGTTTATCTGTGTCCAAATTTCCCCTTTTTATAAGGATACCTTCATATTGGATTAAGGTCCACCCCAATGACCTTATCATAACTATTTACATTTGCAATGGCCTTATTTTGAAATAAGGTCACATTCTGAGGTACTGGGAGCTAGGGCTTCAACATATAAATTTTGGGGATACAGTTCACCCCAAAATAAATGGAAAGCTTGAGAGGAGTGAGAGTGGAGGAAAAAGTGACATGCAGAAGCTCATATCAGACTGTCACTCTTTCTTGACCTTTCTGTTTTCTATCCCCAGCATCTCTGTTATGACTAAGTGAGGATTCCCCTCTTCCAATTTTTAGAAATTTATATTTTTCCCTGAGAAATGGTGGGGAACTTATTCCATTGCCTGTTTTTTAAAAATGGTTTGAGTCCTGGCTGGTGTGGCTCAGTTGGTTGAGCTTTGTCCCAAGCACTGAGAGGTCACCAGTTTGATTCTCAGTCAGATGAAATGCCAAGGTTGCAGGTTTGATCCCCATTAGGGTCATGCAGGAGGCAGTGGATCGATGTTCGA